TACGAGTCACTTAGATTTTACAAATACGTGTGCCTGGTCGTGAACGGCTCACGTATTTGTAAAATCTAAGTGACTCGTACAACACGGAATTCATATAATACGGAATTATCTACAGTGTTATAGGTGTGGTCTACTGTATTTAAATAATTAAACATAATTTTAGAAAATTGCTATGGGAAATACGTTTAAACGATTCAGTATTAAGTCTTACTTCTCATCAAGAAGATGGAATTCAGCAAATTTATGCGGGTTTAGCTGATGGTACAATTGCAATTATTGAAGTTAGTATAGTTATAAATATATTCTAAATTTACATAATGATAATAAATAATTAACAAAATGGAAATTATTAAAGAATATCCAGGGTATGCAGATGAAACCGGATGCATTTTATATTATGATCGGTTGTAGTCCAGTTACTTGCTTGCAGTTAGTTGAAAGAAGATTATGGTGTGCGTGTGGGAATCGAGTTATAATTTTAAGTGCTCGGTAAGCATTATTAAGTAGGCACTTTTTATTAAAATTGCAAAAGATGATACGCTTAACATTTCTTTTTTGCAGAACTCTAGATACTGCCGATCAATTTCAAACATCTTCGAATAGTCTAGATTACATTTCGATGCTTGTACCAGGAGAACATGGTATTTGGATTGCTCTCAGAGGTTCATCCATTCTTCAATTATGGGACGTGCAAACGCTTACTTGTCGCCTTTTATTTGACGTCCGAGATAATCGCTATCCAAGATCTCCAAAGGAAGAAGATTCGCAGATTAATTATTCGCGCGTTACTGCTCTATTGCCGTTTGATGGTTCAGTTTTAGTAGGAACAGGAGAGGGATCACTTATCATCTACGATCTTCTATCTAGATTATCATCCTATTCCAGTGTTGATGATACTTCTTTATGTCTAGTATCTAATAATAACAATAACAACAATAATAACAATAGTAATGCCGATAAAATTCAGGAAAAAATTCAAGTAAGTTTTTATGTAACTATTTTTATTTTCTCGTTATTTATCGTTTATATGTTAACTGATAAATTTGTGTAGGAGTTATTAGAACAGAAAAAAGAAGAGATGGATAACAGACATAGAAATGATAGCGGATGTTATACCACTCCAATTCCAACACCGTTTTTTACACAGAGTAGAAGAGAAAGCTGTTTTACTGTGGACTGTTTACCTAAAACAACAGAAAACGAACAAGAATGTGACTCGCCATCACCCGAAGGTGAAAAGAGTGAAGCAACAAGTTGTTCGACTGTTAAAAGACAAGGTTCCGAAAGCCATCATAGCACAGGAACCACAAATTCTCCAAATGATAAATGCAATACAATCCTGCCAGAAAAATCAAAATATATATCTTCCAATACTTACGTCGAACCTTGTCAAAAATACAAGCGAAAATATTACAAACATTCGCACAAATATTTATCTTTACTCGATTTGCACAAAACTTTGCCATGTGGATTTCAGAAGATTGCATCTACTAGAAGCGCCGATGACGTGAGACGATGGACTAGTGTTGATAATCTTAGTTCTTCTATAAATAGTGACAGTTACGAATTCGATGATCTTTTCATCGCATATACAGAAGACGAATGGTGCAGGCACAGTAGGAGATCATCCAAGGCTGCAATTAGCGAATCTTCCGAATCTCCTCTTCATTCTCTTCGCAAGAAGAGTTGGTCCTTACATTTTCAACAAGGAAATCGCACCAACAGAATTCGCATACAGTTGCCATCTTGGTACAAAGATGGACTTATAACTCAGAGTAGTGACAATGAATCCTCCGTGGGTATCGAAATAGCCGAGGACAGTAAAACAGATAGCGCGCCATCTTTAGATAACGAAACATCCGCTCCTTGGTTAGGTTACGATGACCATTCCAACTTTCAAGATTGTGCTAATCAACCTAAACACGGCCGCGATCTTCTTCAATTGGGAGAATGGAATACACAACATCAGAAAAGTAGCGACAGTGCAAGTAACGTCTCCTTCAGTAGTACAGAAGTTCCTTATATTCTTGAACTTACGGTGCAAGAAAAGATAAAAATTTCAGATAAGCCAATCAAATGTCTTCTAGAAATCAGGTTAGTAAATTAAGATTTAAAAACTTCACAAAATGTAAATATTCTATTACACTATATTATAATCATTTATATCTCAGAATAATTATTATACAAGTTATTGCACTTGCTGACAAGAAAGTTACGCACAATGCCGAGTTTTGCAATTATGTCTCAGATTGCACCAGAATGACTTAAAAATCGCGACCCAGACCCTATTGAAAAAGCTCTCAAAAGCTCAGTGTTCAGAATTTTCACTGCACCCATTGCTTGAAAGTCTCTGAACACCAAGCATGTCTGTACGAGGGAGTCATTGTATTTTAATTGTTATTGACACAAGCACGAACAATTAAAATGGCACTCTTCAGAAATAAGTGAAGTTTCGCAACAGAATCCTCTCTCTTCCTGTACCATACGCTTCCTGCCTAAATGCAGATGGCGCTGTAGTAAAGCGCCCTCTTGCGGTGGAAATTTGAAAAACGTAGTTACAAACGCGTGTATTTACATAGGTGCAATGAACATAGTTTTAAGAAATAATTTTATTTTCTGTCACTTTTGAGGATGATTTTTTTTGTGGAAAATCCATTAGAGCAAGGAAAAATTAAAGTAAACAGGCCATTTTCATAATATTACTCAAAATATTCAAAAAAATTACCGCTTTTGGTAAATATATAGAAAAATATATAGGAAAACAAACCAACACATATCTCCAGCTGATAGAAAACTCTACAGATATTATATGCTCAATGAAGAGTACGTTGCCCAGAAATGCCATGGCTTTGCTGTTCTCCAGATGCCATTATCAGAGACAGTGACAGACATTGTTTATTGAAAATAAAATATCCATCAAAATCTGGGAACGTTTTTATAAAGTAAAGCCTGCGTACGGCATTAATCTATGCCTTTCTTCTAACTGGATCTTCTTTCATTCGGAAAAAAACTATCCCTCTGGAATTACTGTAAGATGTATTACATCCTACCACGCTACAAATATTTCGTTTCTTTATTCCAGAATAAAAATTCACCGAATTAGTCATGTTAGCTCAGTCGTAACTCTGTTGTTTGTAACTACCAAATTCACCATTTTACCGCAAAACATACAGGCAAGGAGCCTGTTGGCATGTGACAGATTTGCAGGAATGGCGAAAATCACTCGACCTGTCGTTAACACTTCAACAGCGGTGCCGTTACAGAAAAGCATGGACCACTAAACTATTAGAATTCGAACAAATTAAATGAAAAAGGTTACGTTTTTACTACTGATTTAACTTGTGTGCATTATATAAAGGATTTTATGAAGGAAAAAACAAATCCAAAAACGAGTTGCGTAACTTTCCTGGCTGTTATGAGATTTTGTTTAAAAAATAACTTTTATGTTATTAATCAATAAATGAAATTGTGTATTGCGCACCATCTGTTACGAGATTTTGTTAAAAATTAATAATTTATATAAATATTTAATTATCTAAATATATAAAATTACTTGTCCTGACTGACTGAGTGATTGACTGACTGACTGAGTGATTGATTCATCATTGCCCAGAGCAAACTGCTGAACCTAAAGAGGTGAAATTTTGTACACAGTTAGGGTACGTCGTGAAAATGCACACTAAGAAAAGATTTTACGAAATTCCCTCATGGGGAGAGAGAGAGAGGATTAAGGCTTAACTTGAAGAATGGCTTCTACTGTACTATTTTAGATATGATTTTTCGTTTTTAACTATGTTTAGTTTTCATTGAGTACTTAGGTGTATTAAATTGATAACATTTCAGACGTTGTTATAATTATTTTTATATTTTTTGATTTTTTAACCAACTGTTTGAACCGTTTTAAATTCGAATTTGTTATTGCATATTGGTTCGATTATAGAATGATTGTAAATGTTCCAGAAAATTGATCAAATTGAAAATAGTTTGTTTGATTCTCAGCAATTCTCATCATTCTCGGCGGTAGGTGTTATATAACAATTACTATGGTTGTTGAAATACTGAATATAAATGGGGTTTGCTTGCAAATCCCCCACAGACAAAGATGTGGGTAACAGCTAGTACTGTATATTTTTATGAGAAAAAATTTTTAGTCAATGCTAAATAGATTTTTTAATGTGAAAAACTGCTATAATAATTTTTAAATTCAACAGTAATCGTAATTCAAAAACACAATCATTAGTTTGAATAAATTTAATATCATTTATTATCCAGATAAAGTACAAGGTCTAATCAAATAAGTATCAACCCTTTTTTTTTCTTTTTGTTGCAAGTATTTGCAGGCTGGGGAAGAGACTATGGTTTGTGAATTTTGATGAATTGATCCTACCCTGCAGTCNGTCCGTGGTCACGTCCAGTACCAGCAGCGGTACGGAATCGGAGGGTACAATAATAGGCAGACCGGTCAGAACTTCTATTTCCTCCGCTTCCAGTGCCAACAGCGTCTTCGGCAGCGGTCTGGCCAAAGTGCAAAACATGTTGGCAAGAGTACACGAAAAGACCTAAAAATCTTCCACCCCTCTATATCTATATACATATATATATAAAATCTCGAATATACCTCAAACTTACTTTTACTATATCAAAATGCAAAATCCCAAGTCTGTCCGTTTAAACTTTGCTCACCGGAAGCGGACTTCGGGTCTTTGCAACAAAGAAAACATATAAACGAATCAAAAGTTAACGTGCTGCAATGTTTTATTCTTTTATAATATAAAAACATATATAAAGGCCACATATTTTCTTGTACTCCAACTAAACATATCTAATTGTAACTTTCAAGAACTTTTACTGTAAAGTTGTATAAAAAATATAACAAAAAAATCTATTATTTTTATTCTAAATATATATATATATATATATACTGTAATAAATGGTTTAAGCCCTCTTAAAATACTGTTTATTAATTTGAGTCAGACACATTTATTGTTAATAATAATAATACCTTTATTTTCTTATATATAGGTAGAAAAATATTACAATATGAAATGTATTTTTATGTTCAAAACTGGTGTGATACAATTTAACAGTGTCTACTTTATACAAAAATATATTTCTGTGTAAAATTTCAATATAAAATTCCCTACGTTGTTAACTGCGCGTGACGAGTTTGTTTTCTAAAATGTATGTAGAATAACATAGCTGCCGCCGCATTGTTAAAAATTGAGTAAAACCTTAAATAAATTTGGCGAAAAAATAATAAAATATAAACTGAGCAACTAACATTAAAAATTTGTAACAATAGAATGGTCCCGAAATTTTTCGGAATGTCTTCGAAACAGTTGAGGGATTTGCAGAGTAACTACTTGTTTTCTCATTTAATTAACACCAGTTGGTCCTAACAACTAAGTAGATATAAAAAAAAAATATATATATATATAATATTTACATTTAGCAGATCTATCCTTTTTACACTTTTCTGGTATGGCTTTGTACACTAAACTTACAAAAAGGCATCGTTGTTTGCGGAACTCTGTGCAGATGCGTAAAATTTGGCATCACCCGTCTCTCTCTCGAATTTCAAAATGGCTGTCTTCGACAGATCTAAAAACTGGCACGAAATGGTATTAGAAAAAATAAAATGCACTGACCGATTCTTGGTTTTCGGTGTTTGAAAACCGTTGGCATCCAAATAGTCTTCGTTCTTATGAAATCTAAAATTAAAAAAACGATGAAGATGAATTTACATGAAAACAATGAGAATGTTTTGGAGATTGCCACTAGTTGTTCGTTAGATGAATCAAATAAATAAATTGTTTCTTCGAATAATGCTTTAGTGACACTGGAAGACTCTCGAGGGGTGCTTCGGTTTGTCGGATGAAACGAGAGTCGAGTCTTTTACAATGTTTAAGGCACTGAAAATTATCTCCGAATGCACTTTCAAATAAATACTGCTTCCGCTTGACTTTGGTTGTTCTGAGACGACTGCTGTGATTGTGAAGACGGCGTCGACTGCTGATGCTGGTGCATCTGGGACTGGCCGGGATCTGCCGGCGGTGCCATCTGCAGGTTCGAGGGACCGATGGGGCTCGAGATGCCCTCGGACCAATCGGACTGCGCCGAGTGGGGAGAGGAACTCGACCACTGCCCCGGAGACTCTGGCGAGGGCGTGAGATAGGTTTCCGGAGGGTGGAGATAGTGTTGTGGCGTGGATTCTGATCCGCTCTGACTGTGTTGTGAAGGTGGAGTGGGATAGTGGTAGGGATGGGAATACACAACTTGCTGGTTGTTGGGGGTCATCGAAGGCACGCTGGTTTTCATTCCCGCCACTCCCACGATGTGCTGAAGATCAGCGTTTGCATTTTGATAGTCGTAGGAGGTGGGAATATTGGCACTGTGCTGCAACTGGTTTGTTTTCTGCTGGTGCGCGGCTCTCATGGCTGCCATGTGAGTCGGTGATGTGGGGAGTGCGGGACATTGCTTGATGGGAGTCGACACTGTGTATGGCAATGAATTTGGAATGTGTGCCGATCCCATACTATTAGGTATTTGTCTAGGTTGCGGTTTGATGGATTGAGTAGTTTGAAGAGGAACCATTAATCCTCCACTTTTTATATACAACTGTCCAGTCATTTCCATTCCTCCCAACGCTCTGTAGACTTGTGGCACGTTTTTCACGCAGTCCTCATAAGCTGGAGGCTGCTTGATTGACAGTAGATGAGTCGTGCAATTGTCTAAATTGATGTGAGTGAGAGAGTGTCCATTATATAAACTGTTGTCAATTGTAGGAGAACCAGAATCTATGCAAACAGTAGCATGTGGCGATTCTAATGAATTCACAGGTGAGAGACTCATGGAGCCATCCAATCCAGTCATGGAAATGGGTTCCTTACGCTTCTTTACCGATGCCTTTCTCCTCATTGCATTTTCGTTGACTGGCGATACTGGCTCGTTATTATCTCTTGCCAAGGCATTCATATTATTTATTTTAGCTCGCTTTTTGGTCTTTGACTTAGTCGAGCCAGAGACGGATACGGTTGGTGAAGTCGCCCCCATCGGACCATTGGGAACCATGGTGATTTGTGGACTCGGCAAAACATAGTCGTCCAGGAGTCGAACGATGTCATGATGCATTCGTTCTAAAGCGACGTCTCTTGGCAGTCGATCCATGTGATCAGTAATTTCCCTGTTGGCAAAATGCTCCAGGAGAATTTTTGCTGCATGATAACTTCCTTCTCTAGCTGCCAGAAACAGTGGTGTCTCTTCTTTATTATTCTGTGGATCTCTATTTGCACCGTGTGCCAATAATACACGCACAGCATCAACATTGTTTACAGCTGCAGCCCAATGAAGAGGAGTTTTACCTAAAATAATATTTAAAAAACAAATATAAGTGATTTGCACTCTTACTCAAACTTTTTGATAGATTTTAAAAAATATTACCATGATCATCTGCGGCATTTATGTCAACCTCTGCATTGATGAGATCTTCAACCATTCCCTCGATAGCTAATCTAGCTGCCAAAATAAGAGGAGTCGTGCCATCTCGCATGCGAGCATTAAGATTAGTAGCTCTATTCCTTAATAATATCTAACAGAATAAAGTTTTTAATTAAATAATGAAATTTTATTGTGTTCTATATCCAACACATTTTAATTAAAATTTCTTACTTGAAACACTCCTTGAGCATCGGCTGCTACGGCTGCATGCAATGGAGTTCTACCTGTATTATCTGGAGCATTAGCATCGGCACCAGCATCCAATAATCGCTTAGCTGCATCTGCTCTTGCATATCTTGCTGCAAGGTGAAGCGATGTTTCACCTAAAAACAAGCATCAAAATTTAAAAAAATATTGAAATTTTTTTTAAAATTTTGCATTGGGACACACATAATTAAATATTTTTTAAAATATTACCTGTTCTTTCAGTTGTCATATTAATCTTTGCTCCTTGCATTAAAAGATCTTGAATCATACTGACAGAACCGTCCTCATCCTCCACTTCCTCTCCGTTATCCAAACCGCCTCCTCGAAATGATGCGAGCATCAATGGAGTGAGTCCACCTAAGCAAGGAGAATTAAGTTAATCTCAAATTTTTACACAAGAGGAATATAAAAGATGGAGACTAAATCATTTACCTGGTCCTTGAACATCAACATTAGCATTTCCTGCTTCTAAATCGCCTTCTCCCTGCGGTGGAGTGAGAGCAACTATATCAGGATTTCTCACGTCCGCAGCATCAAGATGTTGTTGGGTCCACTGTCGGGGGTCGCTATCATATTCTGCAGAAACCGAAGTAGAATGGGTATCATTGTTGTAAGTAATCTTTGAAGATTTTTCACTTTTCATTTTCTTCAGAGGTGGGTGGTCGATATCGTCGTCGTTCCAAGCCAATCCATTATCGGGCGGAGGAACTGCAGTGTTATCGTTAACGTCTACTCGATTTGTTGATGGTTGCTTATTTAAGTTCCTGTAAAACATAATGTATAAACATTTATTCTATCTAAATCTTTATCTTATCAATTAAATATATCCTTTATCCTTAGCTTTTCCTATGCTGAAATTTGTTGGGAGCCAAGATTCAGTAAATACTAAGTAATAAATAGTTAAGATCTGAAATACTAGTGAGGGCAGATAGTGTCAGTAGTGTTTTTCAAGTGTTTGTTACTAGTTCTTAGCAATAAACAACTACAATAAAACATGATGACAGTAATAAATTACAACTGATTATTGTTTATTGTTGCAATTAATGTTAACACAGACATTCAATTATATTTTTGGAAATTTTAAAGTTTTATTTTGTTTTATATAATTTAAGTCTTTTACTGGTTGAATTAACTTTAAACACAACATAATCTAATTTTTCCTCTATGATCAAGTAATAAATATGGAATTACTTTACATGAAAATTGCAATTGAATAAAAAGTTTGTAAGAAAAATAAAACAATGTTACAGAGGAGAATATTCTCACTATCAAAACAAAACAGTCTTTAGTGTTAAAGATCTTCACTAAATTAAAAGATACACTTTTGATAAATAACACTTTCATCATCAGGCAAACTAATGGATAAGGAATAAGAAATGCAAATTTAAATTTAAATAAAGTAGCCATTTGATTTTTACCCAGTAAGCAATTAAGATTAAAATTAAGACAAAACATAACTTTCTTAAAATAAACACAAATAAAATTCATAAAAACAGTGTAAAAATAAACATGACTGAATAGAAAAGATAAATAGAGTTATATAATGAGAGTACAATCTTCAATCAAACAATCCCTAAAAGTGTAAAAACTATTTTAGGGATCTAACAAATGTTGTCCAAAGCTTGGAGAATTACAAGTATTCCCGTGTGTATATTGTCTTCCACACAAAAGTTAGCCTGCAACATTTGCACTCCTTCCAAGCAGGTTCTAAACTACCACTTAAGACCCCCTCCTACTTAATTCCATCACTTGTATGACGTCCCTTTGATGCTTGGCTATATGGATATGCATTCTTGTTATGTGATTTATATATAATTTTTAAAATAGATGTTTATTTGTGCTTAATAAAATAACTAATAGTTGACTAAATCCAATATCTAACTCAACATCCCCTATTACAATATTCATTACTCATTACCGGATAAGTCAATGAGAGGATAATTATTTCTCAGTAATTTTTTGGAATTATAGAGAATTGTATTAGTATTGTAATTTAGAATTTTCAAAATTTGAGTGGAATTAAACTTGATGCCACATGACTTAACATAAATTAAATCAACTAAATGATGATTTATAAAATACAGAGTACTTTTACCTTAGTTACTATACTTTTCAGTTGTAACTGATAAATATCACAATAGTGATAAGATTTTATTTTGCTTCTTTGTTCATAGTCTTCTTTCACAGTATAAAAACAGATAGAAGATGGAAGAAACTATACTAAATTTTGATTTATTTGTATTTATATTGAAAACTTCAGTCTGTAACATAATGAAAAAAGTACTGCTACTTAATTGAAAATGTTTTAATATTTTATATTATTTCAGTATCTTACAATAACTTATGGGAGTTTTACAAATTCTAAAGTAATTATAAATCTGTATATTACCTTATGATTTTAGTTTTTATAGAGTATAAAAAATATCAAAACACATATTCTAATATTGCATTTGATCAATAAGTCTGCAGTTGACTAGCATTATTTCATCATTTGCTGAATATCTAATTGATAGATAATCAGCCAAACAATCCTGATCAAAAAAGTATTAAGAAGTTTGTGAAATTGTTCTACCTATAAAGTTTGGTAAGTAAACACCAAAATTTCCTAGAAATTTGAATAAGTCATAAGAGTTTAACTGACACTTATCTTTAACAGAAATTTTCTGGTAAATTTTGTACATCATCAACAGTTGTATCAATTAACTTGAATAACATAATTAATCGAGTTGTGTATTAATTGAGTAGTATTTCAAAACTAAAATATAAATTGTTTTCTCATTGTTTAACTCATTAAAATGAATGCCCTAAATTTATGATTCATCATTAATTTAGTGTTACATGCAATAATTAAAGCAGCACTAATTCACTAATCAGTATACTTGTAAAACATTTAAAATGCAGAATTTACCTCATTTCTTGTCCATCTGGTCCTCTTCTTCGTGACCTACGTCTTTGACTGCTATTTGCTCGGAAAAATCCTTCGGGAAACCAAGTTATTCCTCTTGCTCTTTTTCTTTGTGTTGTGATTAATACACCAATCAGAAGCCCAAGGAGTACTATCACAATTATGCCTATAACTATGTAAACCATATTGGGATATGCTGCATCAATTCCTTTACTGGATCCATAATCACTGTCACCGCTGATTTCTTCGATGTCAAAGTTCGTGCGAAGATCGCGACGAGTGTGGGCAGCGGCCAGAAACTGTGCAGCCTGTATAGTGAAAGAAATTTATTTATTTTTTGTAAATAATTATTAAAATAGCTAAACATTTATCTAGGCAAAACTCACTTTTGAAGCAGTCTGAAAACATTCGCCTTTTTTACTTTTAAGACATTTTCTGTTATCAATTTCAAGCATGACCTGAGTTCTGATAGAATATTAAGAGTGTTAAACACAAATAAAAAAGCTGAATTTAAACAAAAGCAATCATTTTAAGTAACCTACCCAACTGATGCTCCATAATGATGATCTTTAGTGGGTTTCCAAAGATATATCATGGGAAAACCATTTTCGTCATTTTTCACTCTAACATTTGTCCTCAAGTGATAACCAATTTCTCGAAGAAATGCAACAGAGTTATTTCTGAATACCTGGAGAAAAAAACAAAAGCTTAAAATAGAAGTTTGGATTTGTTTAATAAAAAAATTCTTATTAAATTATTATAAATACCTCTGGATCTATCATGAGAATAATATTTAGAGAACCATCAGCCAGCATAGGTGGATCGGGTTCACAGTCCAGACCATCCCAATTACACTCTTCATTATTACAACCAAAATCACAATATCCATTGCCATAATTCTTTAGGCAGTAAGTATCATACTGTTCACTATTTTAAAAAAATCAATGTAGGTTATTTTACTAGATATAAAATTTTCATATAAAAATTTAATTAAAATTTAATTAGTAGCATATTGTATGTTATAGATGCAAGATTATATTCAATAATTACAATTGATAAGTTCCCATGTTCACTTAAATGAAAATTGTTATTAAGTATTTCATATTCTTAATATCTAAATTGAAGAAAATTATGCAATTATTTTTCTTCAAAATCTGTAAAATATCCTCTAGTCAAATTTTGATAACAGACAATATTGTTTGCCAGAAAATACCAGAATGAGTTAGATTTTTAAATTAAATAATTTGAGTGATTTCTCAAACTCATTCATGTAATTTTGTATCAAATTACAGATTACACTTAATTTATTTTCTATGTAAAAAATAAAAATGATTCTGCTAAATTATCTAAATTCTAGAATTTAACGTACTTGCAAGGAAGTAACTGCTGGGTGCAATCAAATCCATCATATAAACAGTCCATATTATTGCAATCCATGTCACACTTTCCATTTTTAAAAACATCCCAACAGCTGATGGCAGCCGAACAGTTTGCCCAAGGATTGATTCCTAACAAAACATTGATTCAAAATATAATTATTTTTCAATAAGTAGTTTAATTTAAAAAAATAATAATGTCATTAAATTTATTTTACCTAGCGAACAGTCTCCGGCATCAAAACTACATGCATAATTATTGCATTCTTCGTTACATTCTCGATTTCCTGCCTTTTTTCTGCATTGTTCTATCTCACATTTCTTCTTATCGTCCTCTGTGGGAAATTGCAGTTTAGGTGTTTTAGGAATAGAAATGCCTAGTCCTCCTTTGAAATTACTATCAAATGCTTCGCATTTAAGTCCATTCCAAGTTGGTGGGCATTCACATTCAAATTTTCCTATGAAAATATATTAAAATTAAATCATGTTTTCCATGTTTTTTTAAAAATTACTTTAGTCATATGTATTTCCTCACCTATAGCATCAAAGCATGATCCTCCATTTAAGCATGGGGATGATAAACATTCATTTAAAATATCTTTCTCACAATGTTTACCACCAATGCCTACAGGACAGGTGCACACATATCCAGATTTATTGGGTCTACACTGGCCACCATTTTGACAAGGATTACTAGCACAAGTTGTATTTGTAAGTCCACAGTTATCACCCCAGAATCCCTAATTAATTAGGAGTAATAATTAATTTTTTTTATCTGAATATAACAAAAAAAAACTTAATAAAAAATTTGCTTACATCTGCACAAATACAAAAATGACTTTTGGATTTACTCCTGCAGACACCTCCATTTAAGCATGGGTTTGATTCACAGAAATTTACTTCTATCTCACAGTGTCTCCCCATGAAACCATTTTTACAATCGCAACGATAATCATTGATTAACTGAACACAATCTTGAGTTCCAAAATGATTACATGGATTGGATAAACATTCATTTACATCACCTTCGCATCTATAAAGATATAAATAGCATTTAATATAGGTTAATTCTAAGTAATAAAACTAACTAAAGTAAAAACATAACATACCTAGGTCCGACAAATCCAGGTGGACACTTGCACTCATAATTTCCAACTTTATCAAGACATGTTCCTCCATGATGGCAGGCACCCTCAAAACAGTCATTAACATCAATTTCACATAAAATTCCTAAAGTGCCATGTGGACAAGAGCATACGAATTTGTTGATGAGATCATGGCACGTTCCTCCGTTTCGACACGGATTGGGATCACAGTCATTAATGTTAAATTCACAATTTAAACCTAATTAAATAATATATGTATATAAAATACTTGATCTTTCATTTTAATTTAATGTATAATGACATAATAACTAACCTTGAAATCCAGGAAGACAATCACATGTGTACTGTCCAATTAAATCATTACACCTAGCACCATTTTGACAAGGTTGTGAAATACATTCATTAATTTCGTTTTGACAGTAACTGCCTTCATAGCCATCAGCACAAATACAGTGATGACTGTTACCAATATTTTCACAGGTGCCTTCATTTTTACAAAGTTCATGCAATTCAATTCCTGTTTTAAATTAAAGAGAAATAATTACTTACAATTTAATATTTAATTATTATTATTACTGTTATCTATACTTTGAATGAGGCAACCAAAGGAGAGTTTAATAATTATTAATTAAATTCTCTTTGCAATCTCATAATGCACAATAACTAATATCATAATAAACTTATCCATTTAAAAGGTTGTATTATATTAAACTATGTTAATTTTCCCTGTATTTTGATGTAGAATATCTGAATTAATTTCAAATTACTTTTCTATATCATTAATTAGCACATCTTTTTATTATAATTTAATGAGAAATGAGGAAAAAGTAGAGTTTAAGTCTATCAAACTGTAAATAAAACAAATAAAAGTTTAACAGACATTTGAAATTTACCCTTTACCAATTAAGTAACTTCAAAGGAATTGGAACCTATATTTTATTTTCTATCAAATAATAATCACAATTAGAAATAGAAAAAGTTATATAATGGGAATCAAAATTGTTAAGAATCATTTGCAGGTTTTCAAATATAGTGATGTATTAAGTTCTATAATGTTCTCAAATGGGGTAATTATTTATAAATAAAATACTTTAAGTGAATTATCCTGTAAAATTTGATTTAAATGAAATATGTTTAAGTATTAACATTATNAGTCCGACTCCTATCGAGATAGAAATGGGTCACGTATCATATCTTCCTACCCCTTTGACCTTTTTAACCCTCAAAAGTTGATAGCCCCTTATAAACAAGTTACATGCCAAATTTAAATTAGAACATGTCGTTTCAAGCAATTACATTTCAAATTTGTTGCGGCTGGCTATTAATTTATTACAGCATAGAAGAATATACGTCACAGATACTAATGGTAAAATGTCTCAATAAACAGTACTTTTTTCTATGATAAAGCCTGTATTTTTTCCTAACTCTTTCTCCCCTGTAGGCACAACAGAGCCTTTTTACATATCCATGGTAGATCAGACAGACCATCCATGAAAAATTCTTCTGGATATTTTGATTAATCGGGTCCTCCATAGCCTTAATATTTCTAATTATTAGTCTTATCTTGAATAGCTTAAACACCTACAGTTAATCTTTATCAGATATACCTTGTATTGAAAAATACCAAAGAGTAGCTAAGACAACGTTTTTTTTAACCCCTTTTCAGATCCAAAACCGAACCAATTATAATCAGTTGCGCAGGTTGTTACGGTGACGACGAAGCCGTACTAAAATGGACAAAGGAATCGGATAACGTGAGTATTGTTTAAAACCTTAAACCATTCTAATAAACCCTACCTTTTAAGCGGAACGTTAAAAAACACTCGTGTATTTTCAAGTTATGGACAAACGATCCGATCGTAGAAGTGTGCCCATACACAAACACCGTCAAACCGTCGCCCTTCGTTCGCTCGAGGATGCCACGAAGGTCGTCCGTGGTCACGTCCAGTACCAGCAGCGGTACGGAATCGGAGGGTACAATAATAGGCAGACCGGTCAGAACTTCTATTTCCTCCGCTTCCAGTGCCAACAGCGTCTTCGGCAGCGGTCTGGCCAAAGTGCAAAACATGTTGGCAAGAGTACACGAAAAGACCTAAAAATCTTCCACCCCTCTATATCTATATACATATATATATAAAATCTCGAATATACCTCAAACTTACTTTTACTATATCAAAATGCAAAATCCCAAGTCTGTCCGTTTAAACTTTGCTCACCGGAAGCGGACTTCGGGTCTTTGCAACAAAGAAAACATATAAACGAATCAAAAGTTAACGTGCTGCAATGTTTTATTCTTTTATAATATAAAAACATATATAAAGGCCACATATTTTCTTGTACTCCAACTAAACATATCTAATTGTAACTTTCAAGAACTTTTACTGTAAAGTTGTATAAAAAATATAACAAAAAAATCTATTATTTTTATTCTAAATATATATATATATATATATACTGTAATAAATGGTTTAAGCCCTCTTAAAATACTGTTTATTAATTTGAGTCAGACACATTTATTGTTAATAATAATAATACCTTTATTTTCTTATATATAGGTAGAAAAATATTACAATATGAAATGTATTTTTATGTTCAAAACTGGTGTGATACAATTTAACAGTGTCTACTTTATACAAAAATATATTTCTGTGTAAAATTTCAATATAAAATTCCCTACGTTGTTAACTGCGCGTGACGAGTTTGTTTTCTAAAATGTATGTAGAATAACATAGCTGCCGCCGCATTGTTAAAAATTGAGTAAAACCTTAAATAAATTTGGCGAAAAAATAATAAAATATAAACTGAGCAACTAACATTAAAAATTTGTAACAATAGAATGGTCCCGAAATTTTTCGGAATGTCTTCGAAACAGTTGAGGGATTTGCAGAGTAACTACTTGTTTTCTCATTTAATTAACACCAGTTGGTCCTAACAACTAAGTAGATATAAAAAAAAAATATATATATATATAATATTTACATTTAGCAGATCTATCCTTTTTACACTTTTCTGGTATGGCTTTGTACACTAAACTTACAAAAAGGCATCGTTGTTTGCGGAACTCTGTGCAGATGCGTAAAATTTGGCATCACCCGTCTCTCTCTCGAATTTCAAAATGGCTGTCTTCGACAGATCTAAAAACTGGCACGAAATGGTATTAGAAAAAATAAAATGCACTGACCGATTCTTGGTTTTCGGTGTTTGAAAACCGTTGGCATCCAAATAGTCTTCGTTCTTATGAAATCTAAAATTAAAAAAACGATGAAGATGAATTTACATGAAAACAATGAGAATGTTTTGGAGATTGCCACTAGTTGTTCGTTAGATGAATCAAATAAATAAATTGTTTCTTCGAATAATGCTTTAGTGACACTGGAAGACTCTCGAGGGGTGCTTCGGTTTGTCGGATGAAACGAGAGTCGAGTCTTTTACAATGTTTAAGGCACTGAAAATTATCTCCGAATGCACTTTCAAATAAATACTGCTTCCGCTTGACTTTGGTTGTTCTGAGACGACTGCTGTGATTGTGAAGACGGCGTCGACTGCTGATGCTGGTGCATCTGGGACTGGCCGGGATCTGCCGGCGGTGCCATCTGCAGGTTCGAGGGACCGATGGGGCTCGAGATGCCCTCGGACCAATCGGACTGCGCCGAGTGGGGAGAGGAACTCGACCACTGCCCCGGAGACTCTGGCGAGGGCGTGAGATAGGTTTCCGGAGGGTGGAGATAGTGTTGTGGCGTGGATTCTGATCCGCTCTGACTGTGTTGTGAAGGTGGAGTGGGATAGTGGTAGGGATGGGAATACACAACTTGCTGGTTGTTGGGGGTCATCGAAGGCACGCTGGTTTTCATTCCCGCCACTCCCACGATGTGCTGAAGATCAGCGTTTGCATTTTGATAGTCGTAGGAGGTGGGAATATTGGCACTGTGCTGCAACTGGTTTGTTTTCTGCTGGTGCGCGGCTCTCATGGCTGCCATGTGAGTCGGTGATGTGGGGAGTGCGGGACATTGCTTGATGGGAGTCGACACTGTGTATGGCAATGAATTTGGAATGTGTGCCGATCCCATACTATTAGGTATTTGTCTAGGTTGCGGTTTGATGGATTGAGTAGTTTGAAGAGGAACCATTAATCCTCCACTTTTTATATACAACTGTCCAGTCATTTCCATTCCTCCCAACGCTCTGTAGACTTGTGGCACGTTTTTCACGCAGTCCTCATAAGCTGGAGGCTGCTTGATTGACAGTAGATGAGTCGTGCAATTGTCTAAATTGATGTGAGTGAGAGAGTGTCCATTATATAAACTGTTGTCAATTGTAGGAGAACCAGAATCTATGCAAACAGTAGCATGTGGCGATTCTAATGAATTCACAGGTGAGAGACTCATGGAGCCATCCAATCCAGTCATGGAAATGGGTTCCTTACGCTTCTTTACCGATGCCTTTCTCCTCATTGCATTTTCGTTGACTGGCGATACTGGCTCGTTATTATCTCTTGCCAAGGCATTCATATTATTTATTTTAGCTCGCTTTTTGGTCTTTGACTTAGTCGAGCCAGAGACGGATACGGTTGGTGAAGTCGCCCCCATCGGACCATTGGGAACCATGGTGATTTGTGGACTCGGCAAAACATAGTCGTCCAGGAGTCGAACGATGTCATGATGCATTCGTTCTAAAGCGACGTCTCTTGGCAGTCGATCCATGTGATCAGTAATTTCCCTGTTGGCAAAATGCTCCAGGAGAATTTTTGCTGCATGATAACTTCCTTCTCTAGCTGCCAGAAACAGTGGTGTCTCTTCTTTATTATTCTGTGGATCTCTATTTGCACCGTGTGCCAATAATACACGCACAGCATCAACATTGTTTACAGCTGCAGCCCAATGAAGAGGAGTTTTACCTAAAATAATATTTAAAAAACAAATATAAGTGATTTGCACTCTTACTCAAACTTTTTGATAGATTTTTAAAAATATTACCATGATCATCTGCGGCATTTATGTCAACCTCTGCATTGATGAGATCTTCAACCATTCCCTCGATAGCTAATCTAGCTGCCAAAATAAGAGGAGTCGTGCCATCTCGCATGCGAGCATTAAGATTAGTAGCTCTATTCCTTAATAATATCTAACAGAATAAAGTTTTTAATTAAATAATGAAATTTTATTGTGTTCTATATCCAACACATTTTAATTAAAATTTCTTACTTGAAACACTCCTTGAGCATCGGCTGCTACGGCTGCATGCAATGGAGTTCTACCTGTATTATCTGGAGCATTAGCATCGGCACCAGCATCCAATAATCGCTTAGCTGCATCTGCTCTTGCATATCTTGCTGCAAGGTGAAGCGATGTTTCACCTAAAAACAAGCATCAAAATTTAAAAAAATATTGAAATTTTTTTTAAAATTTTGCATTGGGACACACATAATTAAATATTTTTTAAAATATTACCTGTTCTTTCAGTTGTCATATTAATCTTTGCTCCTTGCATTAAAAGATCTTGAATCATACTGACAGAACCGTCCTCATCCTCCACTTCCTCTCCGTTATCCAAACCGCCTCCTCGAAATGATGCGAGCATCAATGGAGTGAGTCCACCTAAGCAAGGAGAATTAAGTTAATCTCAAATTTTTACACAAGAGGAATATAAAAGATGGAGACTAAATCATTTACCTGGTCCTTGAACATCGACATTAGCATTTCCTGCTTCTAAATCGCCTTCTCCCTGCGGTGGAGTGAGAGCAACTATATCAGGATTTCTCACGTCCGCAGCATCAAGATGTTGTTGGGTCCACTGTCGGGGGTCGCTATCATATTCTGCAGAAACCGAAGTAGAATGGGTATCATTGTTGTAAGTAATCTTTGAAGATTTTTCACTTTTCATTTTCTTCAGAGGTGGGTGGTCGATATCGTCGTCGTTCCAAGCCAATCCATTATCGGGCGGAGGAACTGCAGTGTTATCGTTAACGTCTACTCGATTTGTTGATGGTTGCTTATTTAAGTTCCTGTAAAACATAATGTATAAACATTTATTCTATCTAAATCTTTATCTTATCAATTAAATATATCCTTTATCCTTAGCTTTTCCTATGCTGAAATTTGTTGGGAGCCAAGATTCAGTAAATACTAAGTAATAAATAGTTAAGATCTGAAATACTAGTGAGGGCAGATAGTGTCAGTAGTGTTTTTCAAGTGTTTGTTACTAGTTCTTAGCAATAAACAACTACAATAAAACATGATGACAGTAATAAATTACAACTGATTATTGTTTATTGTTGCAATTAATGTTAACACAGACATTCAATTATATTTTTGGAAATTTTAAAGTTTTATTTTGTTTTATATAATTTAAGTCTTTTACTGGTTGAATTAACTTTAAACACAACATAACCTAATTTTTCCTCTATGATCAAGTAATAAATATGGAATTACTTTACATGAAAATTGCAATTGAATAAAAAGTTTGTAAAAAAATAAAACAATGTTACAGAGGAGAATATTCTCACTATCAAAACAAAACAGTCTTTAGTGTTAAAGATCTTCACTAAATTAAAAGATACACTTTTGATAAATAACACTTTCATCATCAGGCAAACTAATGGATAAGGAATAAGAAATGCAAATTTAAATTTAAATAAAGTAGCCATTTGATTTTTACCCAGTAAGCAATTAAGATTAAAATTAAGACAAAACATAACTTTCTTAAAATAAACACAAATAAAATTCATAAAAACAGTGTAAAAATAAACATGACTGAATAGAAAAGATAAATAGAGTTATATAATGAGAGTACAATCTTCAATCAAACAATCCCTAAAAGTGTAAAAACTATTTTAGGGATCTAACAAATGTTGTCCAAAGCTTGGAGAATTACAAGTATTCCCGTGTGTATATTGTCTTCCACACAAAAGTTAGCCTGCAACATTTGCACTCCTTCCAAGCAGGTTCTAAACTACCACTTAAGACCCCCTCCTACTTAATTCCATCACTTGTATGACGTCCCTTTGATGCTTGGCTATATGGATATGCATTCTTGTTATGTGATTTATATATAATTTTTAAAATAGATGTTTATTTGTGCTTAATAAAATAACTAATAGTTGACTAAATCCAATATCTAACTCAACATCCCCTATTACAATATTCATTACTCATTACCGGATAAGTCAATGAGAGTATAATTATTTCTCAGTAATTTTTTGGAATTATAGAGAATTGTATTAGTATTGTAATTTAGAATTTTCAAAATTTGAGTGGAATTAAACTTGATGCCACATGACTTAACATAAATTAAATCAACTAAATGATAATTTATAAAATACAGAGTACTTTTACCTTAGTTACTACTGATAAATATCACAATAGTGATAAGATTTTATTTTGCTTCTTTGTTCATAATCTTCTTTCACAGTATAAAAACAGATAGAAGATAAAAGAAACTATACTAAATTTTGATTTATTTGTATTTATATTGAAAACTTCAGTCTGTAACATAATGAAAAAAGTACTGCTACTTAATTGAAAATGTTTTAATATTTTATATTATTTCAGTATCTTACAATAACTTATGGGAGTTTTACAAATTCTAAAGTAATTATAAATCTGTATATTACCTTATGATTTTAGTTTTTATAGAGTATAAAAAATATCAAAACACATATTCTAATATTGCATTTGATCAATAAGTCTGCAGTTGACTAGCATTATTTCATCATTTGCTGAATATCTAATTGATAGATAATCAGCCAAACAATCCTGATCAAAAAAGTATTAAGAAGTTTGTGAAATTGTTCTACCTATAAAGTTTGGTAAGTAAACACCAAAATTTCCTAGAAATTTGAATAAGTCATAAGAGTTTAACTGACACTTATCTTTATCAGAAATTTTCTGGTAAATTTTGTACATCATCAACAGTTGTATCAATTAACTTGAATAACATAATTAATCGAGTTGTGTATTAATTGAGTAGTATTTCAAAACTAAAATATAAATTGTTTTCTCATTGTTTAACTCATTAAAATGAATGCCCTAAATTTATGATTCATCATTAATTTAGTGTTACATGCAATAATTAAAGCAGCACTAATTCACTAATCAGTATACTTGTAAAACATTTAAAATGCAGAATTTACCTCATTTCTTGTCCATCTGGTCCTCTTCTTCGTGACCTACGTCTTTGACTGCTATTTGCTCGGAAAAATCCTTCGGGAAACCAAGTTATTCCTCTTGCTCTTTTTCTTTGTGTTGTGATTAATACACCAATCAGAAGCCCAAGGAGTACTATCACAATTATGCCTATAACTATGTAAACCATATTGGGATATGCTGCATCAATTCCTTTACTGGATCCATAATCACTGTCACCGCTGATTTCTTCGATGTCAAAGTTGGTGCGAAGATCGCGACGAGTGTGGGCAGCGGCCAGAAACTGTGCAGCCTGTATAGTGAAAGAAATTTATTTATTTTTTGTAAATAATTATTAAAATAGCTAAACATTTATCTAGGCAAAACTCACTTTTGAAGCAGTCTGAAAACATTCGCCTTTTTTACTTTTAAGACATTTTCTGTTATCAATTTCAAGCATGACCTGAGTTCTGATAGAATATTAAGAGTGTTAAACACAAATAAAAAAGCTGAATTTAAACAAAAGCAATCATTTTAAGTAACCTACCCAACTGATGCTCCATAATGATGATCTTTAGTGGGTTTCCAAAGATATATCATGGGAAAACCATTTTCGTCATTTTTCACTCTAACATTTGTCCTCAAGTGATAACCAATTTCTCGAAGAAATGCAACAGAGTTATTTCTGAATACCTGGAGAAAAAAACAAAAGCTTAAAATAGAAGTTTGGATTTGTTTAATAAAAAAATTCTTATTAAATTATTATAAATACCTCTGGATCTATCATGAGAATAATATTTAGAGAACCATCAGCCAGCATAGGTGGATCGGGTTCACAGTCCAGACCATCCCAATTACACTCTTCATTATTACAACCAAAATCACAATATCCATTGCCATAATTCTTTAGGCAGTAAGTATCATACTGTTCACTATTTTAAAAAAATCAATGTAGGTTATTTTACTAGATATAAAATTTTCATATAAAAATTTAATTAAAATTTAATTAGTAGCATATTGTATGTTATAGATGCAAGATTATATTCAATAATTACAATTGATAAGTTCCCATGTTCACTTAAATGAAAATTGTTATTAAGTATTTCATATTCTTAATATCTAAATTGAAGAAAATTATGCAATTATTTTTCTTCAAAATCTGTAAAATATCCTCTAGTCAAATTTTGATAACAGACAATATTGTTTGCCAGAAAATACCAGAATGAGTTAGATTTTTAAATTAAATAATTTGAGTGATTTCTCAAACTCATTCATGTAATTTTGTATCAAATTACAGATTACACTTAATTTATTTTCTATGTAAAAAATAAAAATGATTCTGCTAAATTATCTAAATTCTAGAATTTAACGTACTTGCAAGGAAGTAACTGCTGGGTGCAATCAAATCCATCATATAAACAGTCCATATTATTGCAATCCATGTCACACTTTCCATTTTTAAAAACATCCCAACAGCTGATGGCAGCCGAACAGTTTGCCCAAGGATTGATTCCTAACAAAACATTGATTCAAAATATAATTATTTTTCAATAAGTAGTTTAATTTAAAAAAATAATAATGTCATTAAATTTATTTTACCTAGCGAACAGTCTCCGGCATCAAAACTACATGCATAATTATTGCATTCTTCGTTACATTCTCGATTTCCTGCCTTTTTTCTGCATTGTTCTATCTCACATTTCTTCTTATCGTCCTCTGTGGGAAATTGCAGTTTAGGTGTTTTAGGAATAGAAATGCCTAGTCCTCCTTTGAAATTACTATCAAATGCTTCGCATTTAAGTCCATTCCAAGTTGGTGGGCATTCACATTCAAATTTTCCTATGAAAATATATTAAAATTAAATCATGTTTTCCATGTTTTTTTAAAAATTACTTTAGTCATATGTATTTCCTCACCTATAGCATCAAAGCATGATCCTCCATTTAAGCATGGGGATGATAAACATTCATTTAAAATATCTTTCTCACAATGTTTACCACCAATGCCTACAGGACAGGTGCACACATATCCAGATTTATTGGGTCTACACTGGCCACCATTTTGACAAGGATTACTAGCACAAGTTGTATTTGTAAGTCCACAGTTATCACCCCAGAATCCCTAATTAATTAGGAGTAATAATTAATTTTTTTTATCTGAATATAACAAAAAAAAACTTAATAAAAAATTTGCTTACATCTGCACAAATACAAAAATGACTTTTGGATTTACTCCTGCAGACACCTCCATTTAAGCATGGGTTTGATTCACAGAAATTTACTTCTATCTCACAGTGTCTCCCCATGAAACCATTTTTACAATCGCAACGATAATCATTGATTAACTGAACACAATCTTGAGTTCCAAAATGATTACATGGATTGGATAAACATTCATTTACATCACCTTCGCATCTATAAAGATATAAATAGCATTTAATATAGGTTAATTCTAAGTAATAAAACTAACTAAAGTAAAAACATAACATACCTAGGTCCGACAAATCCAGGTGGACACTTGCACTCATAATTTCCAACTTTATCAAGACATGTTCCTCCATGATGGCAGGCACCCTCAAAACAGTCATTAACATCAATTTCACATAAAATTCCTAAAGTGCCATGTGGACAAGAGCATACGAATTTGTTGATGAGATCATGGCACGTTCCTCCGTTTCGACACGGATTGGGATCACAGTCATTAATGTTAAATTCACAATTTAAACCTAATTAAATAATATATGTATATAAAATACTTGATCTTTCATTTTAATTTAATGTATAATGACATAATAACTAACCTTGAAATCCAGGAAGACAATCACATGTGTACTGTCCAATTAAATCATTACACCTAGCACCATTTTGACAAGGTTGTGAAATACATTCATTAATTTCGTTTTGACAGTAACTGCCTTCATAGCCATCAGCACAAATACAGTGATGACTGTTACCAATATTTTCACAGGTGCCTTCATTTTTACAAAGTTCATGCAATTCAATTCCTGTTTTAAATTAAAGAGAAATAATTACTTACAATTTAATATTTAATTATTATTATTACTGTTATCTATACTTTGAATGAGGCAACCAAAGGAGAGTTTAATAATTATTAATTAAATTCTCTTTGCAATCTCATAGTGCACAATAACTAATATCATAATAAACTTATCCATTTAAAAGGTTGTATTATATTAAACTATGTTAATTTTCCCTGTATTTTGATGTAGAATATCTGAATTAATTTCAAATTACTTTTCTATATCATTAATTAGCACATCTTTTTATTATAATTTAATGAGAAATGAGGAAAAAGTAGAGTTTAAGTCTATCAAACTGTAAATAAAACAAATAAAAGTTTAACAGACATTTGAAATTTACCCTTTACCAATTAAGTAACTTCAAAGGAATTGGAACCTATATTTTATTTTCTATCAAATAATAATCACAATTAGAAATAGAAAAAGTTATATAATGGGAATCAAAATTGTTAAGAATCATTTGCAGGTTTTCAAATATAGTGATGTATTAAGTTCTATAATGTTCTCAAATGGGGTAATTATTTATAAATAAAATACTTTAAGTGAATTATCCTGTAAAATTTGATTTAAATGAAACATGTTTAAGTATTAACATTATATTAACAAAATTATAAAAATATTTCTTGATTTTAAGTAGAATTATTAAAAGCAAGAATTTATCATTTAAAGAGGCACAACTATCCACAAATGACTTTGAAATTATCAACATTATTACTATCGTACATAATTTGAGGATTTATGTTATAGTCAAGAAATGTGTGTACAGGAAATTGCCCTTTATAAAGTTACTAAAAAGAAATTATAATGTAATGATGCAGTTTGAGATTAATGAAAATTTTGAAAATGGTTATTGACATTATACAATTCTATTTGAAGAAATTATAAAATAAACTGGTTTTGTCTATCTTTAAAATAATTTTCAGAGTAATTTAAAATGAAAGTTATAAAATCATTATATGGAAATCAAATACTATTAAAAATGTTCAATGACTTAGAAATTTTACATTTTAACTAATCAGAAACTCTCCTTATAAAAAAAACTTTCCAAAAATTTTTTTCATTTTTATTAAATTTGTTATGAATTACATAACTGTGATATAAAAAATTAAATTATTCATACAAGATATGTACATTTGAATGTTTATATTATAATGTAATAATATAAAAATTCTTCAACAAAGATAACTTACCCTTTTGAGCAGCAGCATCCACACAAGATACCATTGAAACATCACAAAGCATCCCAGTCCATCCTGGCTTACAGGTGCACCGATAAGTATTATTAATCTGTTTACATGTTGCACCATTCATGCATGGATTTGTACTACACCAATCAACAAAAGTCTAAGGAAAAAAACATCATTTATACTTAAGAAACTGTATTAAAATATAAAGAAAATAGTAAATTTATAATATACTGTTTATGCTGTTATTTAGTTTAGAAGACTAAACCACCATCTTAAACAAAAATTTAATTTAATATTAAAGAACTGCTGACAATGGTCTATAAATTAAGCCAAAAACATTTGAGTTTGAAATTATATTACCATTTAAGGTGGTGGTTTATTCTTATAAGTAAGTTTATTTTACCTCACATCTTAATCCTTTGTATCCAAATGGACAATGACAAATAAAATACCCAACATGATCCACACAAGTTGCGCCATTCTGGCATGGTTGAGAATCACATTCATTAATATGATATTGGCAATTGGAACCTGTATAACCAGGAGTACATTGGCAAGTATAGTTGTTTATACCATCTATACAAGTTCCTCCATTCATACATGAACTAAAAAAATAAATAAATTAATAATAATTTTTAAATTTCAATTATACAATAAAACTTCAAAATTTAAATTTATATTACTACCTGGATGTGCAATCTTCATCGTTTGTTTGACAATTTGTACCACTAAATCCTAATGGGCATGTACATGTGTAACTATTCACATAATCATTACATGTAGCACCATTCTGACATGGATCACTGGCACATTCATTTACATCTGTTTCACAGTGTTTACCTCCAAAACCATCAATGCAAAGACAATTGTATTCTCCTATGCCATCCAAACAAGTACCTCCATTTTGGCAGGGAACTGTATCATTTTAAAATCATTAAAACAATATATTCACTGGAAATTTAGAAATATTTCTGAATACTTACAAGATGCACAATCATCGGTGTTTATAAGGCAGTCTCTGCCTTCATAACCTAAGGAACAGAGACATGAGTAGGATCCATTAATATTAACACAAGTTGCACCATTACGACATGGAGAAGATATGGCACATTCATCAATATCTTCATCGCAGAGTCGTCCTAATTCAATAAATTTAACTTATAAATTTTATACAAGCATTAAAGAACTAAAAGAGAATACTGTATTTAAAATTAAATGTATAATTACCTGTATAACCTAATTCACATGTACATGCAAAATCTAAATAGTTAGATGAAGGAATGCACTTTGCACCATTTCTGCATTTATTTGGAGAACAAGGATCAAGTTCTACTTCACAATTTCTTCCAGTAAATGGCACTTCACAGACACACTGGTAAGCATTGACTAAATCTATACAAGAACCATCATTAAGACAAGGATTGCTTGAACAATCATCTACATTAGTTTCACAGTTTTTTCCTGTGTAACCAAGCACACAGTTGCAACTGTAACTTGCTAAAGCATCAAAACAACTTCCTCCATGCTGGCAAGGATTAGATTGGCATTCATCTATATCTAATTCACATCGGTGTCCTCCATAACCTGTTTATAAAACATTTAAATTTGTTAATAAAACTAATTTTTTCCAGAAGACTTAAAGTAAAAAGATTTTTTCTTTTTGATTGCATAACAAAGTTTGAAATAAAAAAACATCAAAATATTTATTAAATTCTTTTTATAGATGTTAATTATTAAGTAATTTTTAATGGAATTTTAATGGTTCAACGAACCCATTCAATTAAAATAAAAATACTAGAGAGATTACCTTCTTTACAATGACATATGAAACGGTTCACTTCATCTTCACAAGTTCCACCATTCTGACAGGGATTGCTGGCACATTCATTGACATCAGACAAACATCGAGCATCGTAGTATCCCCTCGGACAATCACATCTGAATCCGTCAATGAGATCAGTACAAATTCCTCCATTAAAGCATGGATTACTTGCACAATCATCAATGTTTGTTTCGCAATGAATGCCTATAATTTCAAGAAAAATTTAATGCAAATAATTTAATCAAATCAACTATTATTCATTTTCAATAAATGAATAATTAAACAATTATTATTCACTTGTGAGGTTTCTATACAATTATTATAAGATCTACAAATAACATTATCCTCATTAAATTAATAGTATTTAAAATTAAATGTTTATTTTTTTCAATAACAAACAATACATATTTGTTATTATTTATATTTATAAAAGCAAATAATCATTAAAATTCATTTAAAAAATAAAATATGTATATATACTTTAAATTTAAATTTTTAGCTTTATTGTTAATTTCAGTAAACATTTTATTTAAATATTAAATACTCGTACCTGTGAATCCAGATAAGCATTTACAATTATAAGAATTTATTCCATCAATGCACAAGGCACCATTACGACACGGATTACTAGAACATTCATTTTCATTATATTCACAATTTGGACCAGAAGTGCCAGACAGACAGCGGCACTGATAACCATTAATGAGATCTTCACAAAAGCCACCGTGCTGACAAGGATTACTAATACATTCGTTGATTTGTGTCTGACAAAGAAAGCCAGTATAACCTGGATGGCAGTTGCATGTGAATGAGTTAGTACCATCAATACATTCACCATGATGACAAGGAGATGACTGACAGTCATTAATATTATTCTCGCAATTATTTCCTGTAAAACCTGTTTTAAATACAGCATCTTAATAATTGAATGCTTATTTATTTTTTTTACAAAATACTTAAACAAATAATTCTCACCGGGAGGACAATCACATGTGTAACTTGCAATTCCGTCAGTGCATGTACCACGATTTTGGCAAGGGTGACTCAAACAGTCATCTTCATTAATTTCACATTTCTTTCCAGAAAATCCAATATTACAGAGGCACTTAAAACCATTTATTAAATCTGTGCAAATCCCTACATTCAGACATGGGTTTGGCATACATTCATCTATGTCAATTTCACAATGAGTGCCAGTATAACCTATAAAACAGAATGAATAATAATGAAATTAATTATCACATAAAATAATTGTAAATTTTAAATATACAACTATACATACCTGGCATACAGACACATCTAAATCCTCCTCTTTCATCAAGACAAGTTCCGTCATTCTGGCATGGATTGGAATCGCATTCATTGATATTTATTTCGCATCTTGGTCCTGTAAATCCTTTTGTGCAGTTACATTGAAACGATCCAGGAGTATTTACACAACTTCCACCATGTTCACAAGGTGATCCTAGCAAAACAACTATGTTATAAAAAAAATTTCTATAGAATTCCTTTATTAAAAGAATTAATGTTTATCATATAATTTTATATAATTAATAATAATAATAATAATAACAATAATTTAACAACAACCTCATATTAAAAAATATTTATAAACATTAAATTAATGCATGTTTATTATTAAGTAATACAGCATAACAAATTTTACAATATTTTTTTTCACTTTTAATTATTAGCTTTCACTTAAGACATGTTTCTGTCAATCAGTTCATAATTATGTAGCACTGTCAGAATTAATACAATTTAATTTATTCATTATAATAAAACATCTTTTAGATAAATTAATGTTTTATGCATGATTAAAATTACAATATATTTAAATATATTAGAAATTATGAGATTAGATCAAATCTTAAACCAATTAAACTTATTGATGAGTCAAAACTATTAATGTAGTGCTTTTAAAATCCAATCTAATTAATATATATACTGATATATTTTTTAAATATTTCATTATGAATTTTCATTTAATATTAAGAAAAATGTAAATGTATTAAAATTTATATTAATTACAGATATTTAATTATTAAGTCAAGTTTTAAGTATATAATTAAATTGAAATGATGTGTTAATGTAGTAAAATTAATGAATTACATGTATTTTAAAACATGCTATTAAAAGAGATTAATCCATAATTGCAAGGATGCATGAAGCAATCAACAACCAAGAAGCAAAAGATTTTTTTTGCATTTGTAAGAAATGCTGTTACGTTTAACTTGCTGTAATGTAAAAATTACTTTAAAGCATTCTTAGATTAAATAATTTAATACGTAAAATATAACTACCTTCAGCACATTCGTCTACATCTACTGTGCACTCAACACCTTTGAAACCACCTGGGCAAGAACATATATAAGTACCATCTATAGGACTCGTATCACAGATGGCACCTTCGTGACATGGATTGCTAGCGCAGGCATCATCCAAATGGCATAATAATCCTAAGATTAAAAGACAATTATTTAATATCTGGAAATTTTTAATTATTTTACTAAATCATTTAAGACAAATTGTTTTCATTATCATTACCTGTTTTTCCTGGTGCGCATTGACAATAAAATGAACCTACACGATCATGGCAGGTTGCACCATTGAAACATGCCGCGACAGCGCAATCATCAATATTTTCACTACAGTCTGGTCCCGTCCATCCATTCACACAGATGCAAGAAAATCCTCCTACGGTGTTAGTACAGGTCGCGCCGTTCTTACACACATTTGGACGCATAGCACATTCGTCAACATCTTTGCTACAGTACTGCCCTAAAGTAAAGAGCGAAAACATTTTTAAAAATCTACTCTATTTTGCATTAAATTTTACTCGTAATATAGCTTTCATTCTATACAAACCTGTATAAGTAGATGGACAATGACAAGTATAACTATTTATACCATCATTACATGTGGCACCATTTTGACAAAGATTGCCTGGACAGTCATCGATATTGATTTCACAGTTTGTACCTGAAAATCCTAAAAAAAACAAACAAAATTATAAATTTAAAAAAATATTTGCAATAAACAAAATTCTATAATTAATTTTTCTGGTTTCTTTTTTTTTTTTTTTTTTGTATTATTTGACATGTTTCCAATTACGTACTTTCATTTTCGCTACAAATTAACTTCTTTCTTCATTTAGATTAAATCAATTTAAGAGAAAATTTATTGTTCTTCTCTTTAATAGCAAAAAAGCAATTTTATTAATGATATAAACCTGGTATGTCCTAATTTAGTTTCTTGTTAAACAATGTAGGATAAAAATACAATAGTCAGGTAGTTATTTTGTGCTGTGTTCACTAGTGCAGAAAATCACCAAGAGATGGCACCATGCAGTTATTGGTCCCATCTCAACTCAGTGAACTGTGACAAATAATAGGTTATACTGTGGTGACAACAGAATGGACCTACTAGACTAGCCACACATAACCCACTTTTTCAAAAAAGCAATTGTTTGCTCTTAAAAGTAAAATTAGACTTTCCATTGTCCACTATTTTATGGAAAAACTAACAAATGAATATTATAAAATCTGTTTATTTATATACTTAAATTATGAAAAAAACATTTCAGAAAAACAACCGATTACTTATGACACAATTTCATAAATATAAATTCCCCAAATAAAACAGATTAATTATATTGTTTAGCTTCTTCTAAGAGTTCATTTACATACATTTGTGTCAGACTTAAATTATTATTCAACAATGGGAGCCATTAAATAAAAATAGCTGCTAAAGAAATTAATTACGAGTATTAAATGTGTACTTTTCGGTCATTTTGATAAAGAGATTTTATTTAATTTTAAGGTTTAGAATATTATTTCCTGTTCTTTAATATAACCCTTAATATTTTCCTTCAAAGGGCTAATCCACCAATGATATCAGAACATGGCTTTTTATCTTCAAATCAATTCAATCCAGAAATGTAACCTCTTATTACCTGTTCAAACTAGCCTGACTTGTTCTTTAGAACTTTAATTGTTAATGTTAATCAGGATAATCAGAAAGAAATAGGATAATAATAAATAAATAAATAGAATTTCAAATGACATATTTATCAAAAGGAAGAGGAGGTGCCAGTTTTTATAATTACATTAGTATCAACTACGACAATTAACTCTATCCAGTTTAAAGATAATTTCGATATGCATGAATTTTTTTTTTATAAGTTATCGCAAGGAATAATAACGTTAACCTTAAGTTATATACAGCAGTCGGTTTCCAATATATCTATAATAAATTTGCCAACCTTCTTCAATTAAAAATTAGCAATTGCCTCATACGATCTAATGAAGCTATAACTTGCTGCTTTCTTTAATTAACTAATTAATTAATCAATTCATATATAAACATCGAGTGCACGACCCTGAATGGTTTTACGATTAATTTAATTTTCAACTATCCAATTATAAAGTTAAATATTTCAATAAGACGTTCAATATATAAACTAAATTAAAATGATAATTATAAGGAACTTTGATACAGTTTTGAGGAAACCGGGAATGTTATTCAATTAAATGAATGGGAAATTAAACGACTGCGAAAGAGGAAACTTCGTATTTCGTTTATTGGAATCTGACGAGAAACGGAAAAGCGTTTGTTACATAGGACTGTTAACAAACGTGAGGCCCTTACTGGAATAAAGGAGGCGTGGGAATGTTCGCCCACACTAAATGTTGTACGAGAGCTGTCGACAAAAGATAGGTTTTTGCCTCGGGCAATCGAAAATTGCTGCGAGCTACGAAAGGGCGACGTCGTAAATATTAACCGTTTTTCTCGTGTTGTTTAATTCGTATTACGAATGTGATGTCCTCGCCATAAAATAAAAATACTGGTATTTTTAATTTTTCCTTTACGGAAAACATCCCACAAATAAATAACTCTGTTCAAATTAAGTGCAAAGAAAGAAAGAATAAATAAAAAAAATCGTTTTAGAAACCTGTCAAGTTACGTAAAGATATAGGAAGAATGTCTATCAATCGCAATTTTCTTTTTTTCCTTCCTTTATTCCGAGCTCCCAATCTTGATCGGTCATCCCTTTTTTTATTTTTTATATATAACCAGTTGACAGATAAGATCGAACTATTTCGAAACAAAGAAGTCTTTTACGGCGGTTGCAAAAATCGCGAGAGCAACAAAAGGTTTCTTGACCTGTCTTCGTCTGACAAACAATGGGGAATCCAAAACAACTTTTATAATCGTCTAGAAACTCGTCCGACTACAACCGATCAAGCGCTACAACAATATAAATCAAGGAGGGCAAACATCATATCTCGAGGAATCGGACAATTTCGGAAAATTATATCTTTTACTTGAACGGTGCAATAATATACCGTATATATATATATATACACAGTACACTATCTGTTCATTTCTTTTTTTATTTGAGATAACTGTGAAGATAAAATCGATTTTGTACGGTACAAAGTGCACTTACGAACTCTTATATTGAACTCTATCATATTACACACTTTCAACACACTAGCTTCTTATTCGTAACAGGATGACGTTCCGTGTTTACTTTTAAACGAAAAAAGATAAAAATACAATTAAAACATTCTGAATGAAAGTATTGTTCATTACGGCAATTTTCTCTTATAATTTCTAGTCTTTAGAAGAGATTATCACAAAGGAAAATCTGTTCAAAGTCAAACAATTAACATCTGTTTCCTAATTAGGAAAGAACAATGTGATTGTTATGGATTTAATCGCTTTATTTTCGCAATCATTCCCACCCTACAAAATTTATTTCGATTACTCATTACTTTATAAACTTGACACCTGAAATGACTTCTAGAATTCCGATATGATTGATATTGACAATTACTATATTATTTTTTTTTATTTTAAATCAAAACGCTATCATCTTTCAAGAATTGTTTGTATAGTTATTGTATTACCGGAAAGAATGAGTATAGTATTTAATACACACACCCATCTACACTTGCCTACTTTACGTATAAAAGATTACCAACTTGTACGTCAAAAAATAAGTTGTATTATCTTTCTAGATTAGATAATATCTCATTATTATAAAATACTGGTAATTATATATATGATGAGAAGAAAATCGACCAACCAGGAGCGCAGGAACACTGATAATTTAGGGAGTCGATAGGTTGACAACTTCCTCCATTTTCGCAAGGACTAGGATCGCAAGGAATGTAAAGCGATTCGCAGTTTTGACCCGTATATCCAACTTGACAGATACACCTGCGGTTTTGAAATACATAAATCTTGTAAATACGAAGGGGAAAAATAAAAAAAAATGTAGTCAAAGTGATGAATAACCAAAAAAACTCACCTGTATGACCCAACCGCATTGACACATTTACCATGGACGCAGGGATTATGTTGACATTCGTCAATGTCGTTAGTACATTGAGATCCCGTATAACCTTTGGCGCATGTACATCGATAAGTATCTAAAACGGAATGGCAGGTGGCACCGTTTCGACAAGGCTGGGAAGCACAATGATCCACTAATTGGCAATGATGACCTGACAAATTAGTATTTTAACACCTGTTAGCTTTTAAGAAAAACTCCTTTCTTTTTGCAATATAACAAAAGTTAATGAACTTCTAACACATATATTTATATAGAACTAAGATAAAATATAGATGTCTGAGTTTACCTCACGTCATTTAAAAAGGCAGATCAAATCTGTTAAACTACTTTATCTCTTAATTACAACTGACAAGAATATTTTTCGGGAAAACAAAAAAAAACCGAAAAAATGGAATTTTTTTTTTTAAACTCTCGAAATAATTTTATAGATCAGGTTTTGACGAAAAGTAAATTTATCCTGTACATAAAAATTAGGATCAATCACTTACCTCTATATCCTGCGGCGCAAGTACAGGTGTAATTGTCCAAGGTTATGAGAGCGCAGGTACCACCGTTTTGGCAAGGATCACTATCGCAGCTGTTAGGAACGGCTATTTCACACAGTGATGCTGAATAACCTACGGGACACGAACAGGAAAAGGCTGGCCCACTAGTCACACTCATTTGAACGTTACACGTTCCTCCATTTTGGCATCTAGGTCCCGGTCCCGTGTGACAGGGATTTAGATGTTGGCAATACTCTCCCACGTACATCGGTGGACAACTGCAGAATATTTTAAATTTAAAAAAAAAGTGCTTAATTACAGAAGAATTTAAATGAAAAATAAGTTTATTTTCTTTATAAAATAAATTATTATTATTATTACTTTTTAATTTCGGGTTTCGAATATATCAAAATGTATCAATCTATTCTATTCGGCATTAATTTTTTCGTACGGGTTATTAAGTTTTTATTTAAATTTTAATCACATAAAAATTGTTTTAAAATTTTTAAGTGTCTTGATCTCCGCTTTTTTCTTAATAGCATGTGTTGCAACCAGTTTAATTATTTATGAACGTCGTCTAAGTGCATAAATCAGCAACCCATCTATTTTCACACGGTTGAATGATTTCGGCAAGAAAATGTCCAACTGATTATAGATTTGAGCTTAATTGATATTCAGATGGCTCCTGAATAAACATTTTATGGTCGTTTAATTACTTTTTGCTAGAAAATTCCAACTTCGAGATTTTTAAAACGAGTGTTTCATTTATCTTCCCACTTAAATTCCTCTTTTTTTTTCGATTTTATCGACAGTGGTCCTACATTATACACACATGTATATATATATGTAATTTATTCGTTAAATTTCAAGACTTATCGCTATTTTATGATAGATTTATGAGTAGGATTAGTGCCAGAAACTTTTTAATTTAACTTATTAAAATAAATATCGAATCAGAACAGATGGGCAACTAAAGAAAATAAAGAGGGCAAAAAAAAGGGAGAAATGACAGCTAGAGATGTTTGGCAATAATGGATTGTCATACCGGAAACAGGGTCATGAACATGGTAGGATTTCGCTAGTGGCAACAATACTTTGATTCTATAACAACTGCAAAAGATTGTATGATAATTGCTGTCCTAGTGCTTGGGGGCGAAACTTAATTGTACGCTTATTGTATAGTTTGATAGGATGAATAAATCAGAAGTCTTCTAAGGGCTAAGGGAAGGGAGGAAAAAATTTTACAAAGAAGAATGTGAACTACTTGTTTAATAACTTTCCACCATCTAGTAATTGTTAGCAGCAGACGGAATTCGACCCAAGAATGTAGTAAAGAATCCCAATTTATCAAGTGAATCACGTTTCTTCTATTACTTACAGAAAATAAAAGAGTCATAGTGGGTTCCTCCATGTTACATTCAATTATAAATTATAATTAAAGGCGAGTAATCGAGACTCGTTAAGGACTTTTCCCTTTGAAAGCGGATACTAATAGCCTGACTATCTTCTTTATGACCTCATTTGCCATTAAGGAATTGGATGTTTAAGTGGGTCGTGAATAAAATAAATTTTTGAGCCAATTAAAACATTTTCGTAACATTAAAACTTTTTTAAGAAAGGCCGCATTGGGTGATAAAACAGCTTTTTTTAATTTGTAACTACAAGGAATATCAGTTTTTGGAGTTGTTTCTGTTTATCTGGATTAGATAGGGTTTGTCCGGGGGCAACATCCAACCGGAGATGGGCCCCCTCACCACACATGTAGCCACTAACCGCCAGTGGGTCATTAAGTGATGCATTTAACAACACGTCGCTTAATCGTTTAAACTTCCCTAATACCTGACTGGTCAGTACTAATGGATGGAAAACACGAAAAAAAAAATAAGAAAAACAAAAAAAAAAGATCCGAACTTAATAGTAAATTGTATCTGATACATAAATTATATTTATCGAAGCGTATAAAATCTGAAGTGAAACAATACATAAGATTCAAGGATAAATTAGATAGGAGTGTCGAGGCGACCACATTATCAAAGACAGTTTGTGTAGGGACCTTGAAGGAATTGGCGGGAACAGCTGGCGTGCGGAGGGATAGGAAAAGAAAAAAAGATTCCATCACTAATCAAGGACTCTGTCCGCTTCCGGACAGCATTTAGCTACGCTCATGTAACAAACTAGTACCCCTATAAAATTGGGCGATGCTTATTCTTTACTGTTCTTAAGGGGGCTGGTTTATTGATTGCCGTTGATACGTTGACGATGATACGATGATGATGATGATGATATCGCGTCATCCCCTTAGGGTAAATACTGCCGCGGGGAAAACGACGCTCCCGTTACGACCTATTTTTTTCTTGCGATAATTTTATTTTGTCTCGAGATATCGACAAGTGGGACAGTTCGTTTTTTCAATATCACCTGAAAAACAACCTTAAAAATACAACCCGATAAAGAATTTAAGTGTTTTTACTATCGCCAACCATTGTAAAAGAGGAGTGGGGATCACGAAGTCCGACCATGCGTTCTTATATAATATTTTCGTGTCAAGGTAACACACGATTTCACCTCTTGCCAATTTCGGTACGAGCATGCGCAGAAATGCTGTTACAGGACCGGTTACCCGCGATGACAAAGAAGACAGCCAGAGGCAATACGTTGCAAGATGATGACGTGGATCAAGTCGGCGCCAGATTCTTCTTCTTTGAAAGCCGACAAGGGAGGCCCGACCAGACTGAATTCAATAAGTGTCCCGAGCTGCAAAAACATCATTCATTTTGCCCGTTGCGTTTATTGCATCTCCCCGGACGAAACAATCCCGTAATTTGCATTTGCAAACAGTCCAAAACGCATTAAACTACGCAGCAGGGGACATTCCGCAATTTGCGGATGATACTTGTGTGTGTATGTGTGTGTGTGTGTGTACGGTCTGCAAGTCTGGAGCTTTTCAATGTCAGGGGAAGAGGAAAAAAAACAACACCGAAAGAAAGAAAGAAAGAAAAAAAAATGACAGTTGTGGGCGGTTGCTGGAAATCTAATGGGAACAACCTAACCTTCTCGTAGGGGGAAGTTTTTAATGGTGATGGCAGTGGGTGTGGTCCGAATAAGGGACATTCTCCTTATCCGTAGCCTCAGTCTTGAGCCGACGCCCAATGTCAGCCTTATGGTATCTGATGTAATAACACAATACAGATTTCGTGTAATAAAATAATCAATCTACTAAATTAGTAATCAATTTTAACTCAATTATCTCTTCCGAACGTTTTACGATAAATTATACGAGGGTTATAAACGTTTGATACTTAAAACCGTTATAAAGCTAATAATACATCAACAAATGTTAATAAAATTAAAGAAATAGCCTTTTAGGAAACCGTTTCTTGTATTTTAAGTACACTTTAACATTAAATTTTTCAATTAAAAGAAAAAAAAAAAACCTTAAGAATTCATTACTGTAACAAATTGCAATTTTTATACTAATGAAAAATATTAAATTGCTTAATCTGATAGTTAAATTTATGCAATTTCCTTTCTTTAATTTATAATTACGTTTGATAATTAAAATTATACACGAACAAATTCAATTTCATTGTAATTTATTTGGCGAAAATTTCCGTATAAAATTTTCACTAAATATTTAACATTTTGCATGATTTATTCGCATGAATCTACGATTTAAATGACGAAAATATTTCATTTTTAAAGGAATAACATACAGACGTATTATTATTATTAACTGGGCTTATTATAATAATAAACATAATACGTTTAAAATTATAGTTAATAGAATAATTCGTCGAATTGATTACATCATGTCACTTATAAAAATAAATTTACGACAAAAACTTTATTATATATATTCAAAACTTGTTTATAAATCTTCAAGAGGAACTTGAAAAGATTTTCACATGTGTTTTAATTGGCAAACTATTATAAAACATATTTATAATGGTTGATTAAAATTCGAGACACACAGAACTTACTTAATACCGATATAGTACCATCTGGTTTTATTTACTTGCGCAAAACAAAAACTATTTATATTCAATATACTGACTTGACACAATTAACAAGTGCCAAAATAAATCTAGTATAATGAATCATCATCTATACCAGAAGCAAAATAAAAACTGACCAGATTTTAGCGATTAGTTTAAGTTCAACAAAAGAAAAAAAACTCCATATTTTTTAACGTGTTTGTGCAACTCGTGTTCTATCTTAATTTGGGTTTCTATAAAAATTAATGTCTTTGTTAATTTCAAACGTGAAAACACACAAATATTCATAAAAATTAGTACAAGATTTACCAAAAAACAAGCTGTTTATATGAATTATTTTTAATGTAAACAATAGTTATTGTACAAAATTTTATTATTGCATATTATTTCCTTCTTTATTTTCAATTAAAAATATCTATCCAAACTGAAATTTGTTGTAATTCATTCCGTGTTTGTAAACTATTAGACTATATTTATATTCATGTTTGAAAAAAGATGAAATTAATTTTTAATTTAGCATTGCATCCTTAAAAAGAATATAAAGCAACAATAATAAAGAATCCATTTTTAGCTCGGTTGTTCACCTGATACTCCACCCAAAACTAGGAATACAGACGAGTATCTTAAGAGATTATATGAGGCTCCGTGCAAACTAGGGCGTTCCCAAGAGAGACTTCTTGAGAACTGGATCCACGGAAACTGGTTTGAGTGGTATGCGGGTCAAGTTGTTTTGCCACACAGTACTGATGAAAATATCCTAATATCACGATCGTAGCATCAATGGAACCATTATACATACAAAACTAGACATTTACATAGCATAACTTTTATAGTAAAAATCCTCTTGTTAATATTCATTAACCTTCGTATGAGTGGGTTCTTTATGTAAGCACTCAACAAGAAAGAAAATAAAAAAGATCTTCAGTAAGAAAATTCTAGGAAACATAATTTGAAATTAAAATTAACGGGCTCCTCTCTTCTGGAATCCGTATGATATATAGGAGATTATTAACAATGGTGCATTTTAAAATTTTTAAAGTCGCCTAAGGGGGTTTAACACTTGCAGAACAAATTTTTAAAAAATATCCCGTCCATTAACGGTGGACGGAGGAAAAAGGTAAAACAACTTTTCCTTCCGAGATATTTCAGATCTGATTACCTTTCCCGTAACTTTGACAAGACCGCTAATTACATACATTACATCGCTCTCTCACGTATCCTAAACATACGATATGGGGCCTTCTGGTGTGCACGTGATCAGCCATTATCCAATAACGTCCTCTCTTCCCGGTTACGTCAGTAAATCCGGTCTCGTGTCGACAACCCACGATGGGTTTAGAGCAAGGTGACCGCATCACCTTATAACCTTTATGGTCGGCGGAGAAAGCGATGGGGTCGAGACTCCAATTTCAGCACAGTTTTTCCCTTTCGGTGCCACAGAACAGGTCACGCTCACGACCCACCCAACGTCACGATTTTTGTGGGTGCACATCGTTCCAAGGACAATGATTGCAAAGTTCTATCATTCTGGCTCAGACCTGATGCCCTACATTAATCTCATCTTCAAGGTTTTCGAAATCCCAGGATCAAAAACAAAGTAAAAAAAAAGTACACAAGAAATACAATACGCGAATAGAATGGCTGATCTATTTATTAAGATGCACAATGCTTGCTACGAAAATACGTGGAGAGTATATAAATCAGAACCATTAAGGTTCCCATCTCCTTTCAGCCGAGCATAAAATATCCCTTCGTCTTCCTGACAAGCGTGATCGAGTAGACTAGAAAATTCTTTAAATTCCGTCACATTCAAACATAAACTTTCCCATAAGGGTCATACTAGGTCCTTTGATACTCCCAAGTTAACAAAAGATTGAAGTTGCACAACAATGGACCAACTTGAAAGGGACGCAAGGTGCAACGAGTCATACTAAAAATTATGGCTTTCTACATTCTAAAGTCTCTTTCAAAAGAAATTTTTAATAAAACTTAAAATTAATAAACTCTGCTGAATACCGAAAGAAGATGTATAACGTTGATTAATACGTGGGTTAAAAAGAAAAAAAAAAACTAAACGCAACTAAAATTAGCGAGATTTTATGAAGGAAGAGACCTTCATTAGTGCGGGGAAGCATAATGCAAGAGTGGAACAAGGTGAACCAGTTTTACATAAAACTCGTCATGACTTCACCAAATAATCTCAATCAAAATAAAACAAAACAGCTTGCAAAACGGCGCTAAATTCAATTGAAGACTATTCCAAAAAAAAAAAAAAAAAGTTAACCTATCTGTCTGGTCATAAGATGCTATCCACGATATTTCACGGGGGTCTCAATCTTATCACGTACTGGTGGAGGCGTGGACAGGGTTGTCGTGACGTTGAGAATATCACGACGAAGAGGCAGTCGGTCATGACATGGTCCACCTGGTCAATCACTTTCACCTCAAGATGACCTTGACACTGCTCCCCCAAAGAATCGCCTCCGACAACTGGAGATTAAAGAAGAGGATGAAGAATGGAAGCAGCACTCTATCCTCTTTGTCCTGTCGGACTGTGTTCCCACGACTTGTATGACCGCTTCTCTTTATGCCAAGTAAAGTATTAAAGGAACGCTTGCTGGGTACGGGAGAAACGACTTTAAAAGAACACCACATTTGAAAAATGGATAGCTTTATGTCAGTGTATATACACTACTCGTCTAAGGTGCACATTAATCTAAATTGCATAATCTCAACCTGTTCCAAAGACGTGAATTTTTACAAATTCGGGCATAATAATTAATTACGTAAAATACATGTTATAAAATAAGTGTATAAAAATTTATTATTGTATATGTGACAAAAGCTGGCTTGTTTATCGCGTAACGAACAATAAAACTTGGTAGTTGAAATGAAGCATTGAACGTTGACGAGTCCAACGCTCTTTCACCCAACATTGTTGGGGCAGCCAGGATGAGTAAAACACGCGTCGACATTATTAAATGATGACTACTTCAATCCATCCGCTAGAGAACCGGATGCGACTCACAACACAGAATAGTAAAGCTCTTAGCAACAAACTAAAACCATATTAATTATCTTGACTAAACTTTAACGTGTAATCGTTAATTATAAATAACTTTAATGTGTAAAAACGAATGATTTATGTTTACTCACTTGCAATATGACTCTCCCCTTGGATTTGACACACAAGAAGCTCCATTCTTGCACGGATTTGGAGAACATGATATGAGGGCTGAAAGAAAAACAAATTCATATTAATTTTCTTTACAGTATTATTATACGAAAATTACCTTCAAAACAATAATAATAATTATTATATTGGATTACATATTATATATAAATTATTTACAAATCATTCGTATGTCTTTGAACAATATAAAAGTTCTTCTGAAATCAGTTGAAGAAAATTGTGTGTACATGAATGGATACCACGGGGTGGTTGATCCTAATATAATTACGTAGCTTAGGCTATATTGCAAGCAAGAACAACAGGCCATAGACAGAAAACCATTTGCGTATTTATCACAGTGTTAGAAAAATGATTCACAGAAGCAATAAACACCCAGAGTCGATGTTCTGACAGCACCGCGAGTTTATTTGATTTAACTGATTATTATAAGAGTTTATATTATTATGAGTTACAAAATAAGAAAACTACATATTATNTATAAAACTGTATTTTCCATCAATTTTAACTTATTTCCGTTACTTTTGGAGGCCTTAACATTGTAAAAACCAGTATGAAATGGGAATTTAGCCTTATATATATATATTTTTAAACAATAATGTAAGTGTAATTTTGAAAGTAACATTAACTGAAAGACAATAGTTTCTAATATTTGAGAAAAAAAATTTTTTTTTCAGGAAATGGTGATTTAGATTTTAAAATATATATATATATAATCGACTTCTGCTTTTCAGCAAGATATTATCTTTTACTTCATAGATAAAAGCCTTTGAGATAATTTAATGTAACCTTCAAACAATACTTTCCATTTAAAAAAAAAAAGTTCAGAATAAACTACTTCATGTACGTGAACAGCAATCAGTTTTAACGCTATATCGGGGATATCATTTTAGACTATAGGATACAATACTCTCATTAATCATTTCATACGATGACAGATTTAACATAATCTTTAAACCAGCATTTTGAAAGGAAAAAACTTCATTTTCTTAGTGTAAATTATACTTTTTTCGCAAACAACACAAAATTATCTGTGTATGGATTGTAAAGTTGTGTTATATTGGATCCTTTATATATATATATATATATACATACATACGTAGACGTTAATCTAAGCATTCAACCCTCTATAAAAGTATATTATTGTATAAATTGTGATGCAAATTGTATATAAAGTATATTGTGTTAAAACATGGAAAAACGTTATTTGGAAATGGTTTATAAATTTATTATTTTATAAAAATCAAGCATATTTAATACAAAAAAAAACAATGTCTAATTCCGTTGGCCGTGCTGTAAAGAAGTCAGCTTGCCGTTCTGCAGAACCCGGGATCAGGACGGGTCCAAAAAAAAAAACCCAGGAAATTTTTGGGTATGTGGGCCTAGTCCCTCATCACCTAATCTCCCCATTGTAGATCAGGCCGAACCCATAATGGATTTGTTAAAAGGGCCTTCCCATCCTTCCCATTTTGGGCTGGTCGAACCCATAATAGGCTTGGTTAAAAGGCCCTCCTGAGGACCTTTTAACCAAGCCTATTATGGGTTTTAACCAAGCCCATTATGGATTCGAGTGCAAGTATATTCTTGGTTAAAAGGCCTCCTGAGGGCCTTTTAACAAAGAATATACTTGCACTGTGTAATTTACATACTGTTGATGGCAAGTGTGATAAAGTGAAAAAATCCTACAGCTGTTAAGTAGTGTTTTTAATTAATAAAGCAAGAAAGAATTTCAATTATGTTCAACTGACTCTTGACATTGAAATATCAATTGTATCCTAACAGATAACAATATCAAATTTTATTATTTTTAATTATATTATCAACCTGTTTATGATGTACGTATAGAAGAATCCATTGAATATTTTTCGTAAGCGAATACCTGACTATCAAGTTACCATAACAGACAATTCAACTTGCTTTATCAAGAGAACCATGACCTATTTTATCATTCGGCATTTCCGAGAAGGCTTATGTATCTTAATTAATTTATACATTTAAAAACAAAAAATAATAATCTTAAATTTATATAAATTATTTATCTGTGATATATTTAATTGAATGAAAAAATAAATTTGAATTTCATAATTGCACGCGGAAATTTTTATGCGAGCGGCTGATGAAAAAGCAGACAATTTCAAAGATGGCGCCGACTAATTTTTATTTGTTAATTTAACTAGTTCGCACTTATTATTGTTTTATTAATAAATTAATGCTACTGTTTAAAATAGTCTTGATACTTAATTTAACATTAATAAGTACAATAGATTCTAATTCTTTCTCCATTTTTTTTTATTCGCTAAAATTACTATACACAAATATATTAAATGTCATATGCTTCCTCTAAATAAATAAGAAATAATTATTTTTAACTTACAAAAATTATTAAATAATAACAAATTCTAATTTACATTTTATAATTAAAAAACGTATTTGAACTTTCATCTTGAACGCACTCGTGACGTTTTTCAAAATTTTAAAATCGTGCAATTTCATTTGTTATTGTTACATATGACACGTGTAATTGAAAATATTTCTTAATGTTTATATAATATTCATAGCTTTTTGAAAAAGGTTCTTATTTAAGCAATTCTAAAGAGGTTTAGAGGTTAGAAATAACAAAAACAACTAATCCAAAAATTGAAAAGAATTTTTATAAGGTTTTCAAGATTTACTTCATAAAAGTAAAACCAGTAAACAAGGGTATTCAGCTGAGATTTTGAAGCTTTGAAAAGAACCAGTCACTTAACATTGTTCAAAAACTCTATTCCTCACCTTAACATGATTAGGAATAAGTTCTGCAGATTAAATTCATCCTCCTTTTTTTTCTTTTGTAAAGAACAAACCCATTCTATTATTAATGGAGAAGTCCATACAGCAACAAACTATTGGTTGCCCTTTCTTTTCAATCCAACGGTTCGGGTTAATGCGGAAACTAATAAGAAACCAAGCCGTAACTTCCAACAAAAGAGATTTTCTTCTTAAATTATGTTGCATTTTACCATTATTATTTTTCAATTCCAGCTGGAATGGTATCTCTCTTCTTTGTTTGGACAACTTACCATAAGGGGTATTTGGTAAACTGTACTGCAGGGAGTAATATATAATTATTACTTTTATGTATAAGGAAAGACCCTTTCTTATTTCTTTTTACTGTCTACCAGTTGGTTTTGTAATGACTTTAAAACTTCACTATAATTATTTTAACAAATAAAACATATCTAAAGCAATAAATGCTATGTCATTAAAGTTATTTTAGGCTTGATTTTTATATTTTCAATACTTAGAAATGTTCTTTTTTTTATTTTTTTAACTATATCAGATTGTGTAGTGTGTCTTGCATAGTTATAGTATATTTATGTTATGAATAAAAAAAATATGACAGCATTGAAAGTGACAAAATATATTCTCATTCACGTGTCAAGGTCTGTTGACAATAGACTAAAATATATTTTAGTCATGTAGCTCCATTTGATATATTGTTTTATGTGGGAAAGAGGGACATATACTTTCTGTATATGCATGCAGAATTGCTGATAAAATTTCTATTATTCATATCAGAAACATGATTAATGTAAAAATGTGCAAGAGGTGCTTTATTTTTCGGCAATAGCTATAGAGTTATACACTTAAAAAAAGCCATAATTATTTGCAGGAAGCTTAAAAATACAAAGAAAAAAAAAATGTTTAAAAGTCAGACATTTATCATAAAAACAAGCAAATAACCTGTTGAAAACTTAAAAATTTATTGCAATAATATAGCATCCAATGACAGTTTGCATGCAACAACAGGACAAACTTAAAGAAAAACTGGTAACAATGATCATTATTATTACTATTATTATACACTTTTAAGTGTTTCTTGGAAGTATTTTCTCTTGTTATACTTCTTTCATTTCATATCCTAAAGAGTTAATCAACAGTAAAAAAAAATCATTAACTGTAGAAACACGAAAACTGTTTCAACCAGTCAAAACAAAAATATATATATATATTTTTTTTTCAGTAGCAGAGATAGAGTAAAATAAATTCTGATAAAATTAATAAAGGTATAAAAAAAAAACTATCATCAATTGTTTTCTCAATAAAATATATTCTACTACTGCCTGAACTATCATAAATGCATTGATTGATGATAGAAAAGACCTTAGGTTAGATCATAAATTAATGATTATGACTAATAACAATGACAAAGCACAAAGTCATCTTTCATTCTATAACTTAATCCTATTTGCAATAGTTTTTAAACCATATCTAGCCTTTAAGTAAATAAATTAAAACTTTTTTTTTTATGGCAATTATTTCCTATTAAAAATTGCAAATTTATACTAATTTGAGGTTAAATATTTTAATACACCTGTAAAGAGATAGCTGAAGAAATATAATTACTGAAGAAATATTTAAGAGGATACTCCCAATTAAACAAGGAATAGGTGGTAACATCTGTCCCTTTCTACGCAACAAAGTGCACTTTTATTCTCCTCTGCCTGCGCCTAAATCAGGTTAGAAAGGTCAATTGTTTGGATGTTTCAAAAGAATAGAAAAAAAAGGTATATAAATATATATATATATAAAGAACAGGTTGTAATGCTTGTACATAATTACGATAAGCTATATATTATGTAAAAATGGAGTCTTAGAAATTGAATATTCATGAATAGCTAGAATTATATATAATGAATTCAAGGGAGTTGAAAGAAGAAACATAAATTTGCCTCCAGGATACACACAAAAGCTTAGTTACAGGATATAGTTTAATTGATAAATTACCAAGGATTTATATGTATATTAAAAAATTAAATTATATATTTGAAGAAAAGAATGTGTTAAAAGTAAAAAAGAAAGAAGAAGAAAGTTTTTAATGGTCGCCAATCAGAAATGGTCTATTTAAGTTCAAATTCCACTTGAGTCCCTTCTCTTCATATGTCACCATTTGTCACAATCATGAAACATTGGCAGATAGAATAGAAATATGATATGTACCAGGCAGTGCCCATACTTGAGAAAATAAAAACAAACAACTGTCAACCGTAGAAGAGGGAGATGCG